AAGATACAATCAGTAAAAAAAATGGTCTGGAGTTCATTTGTGATCAAAAGAATGGCACAAAAATGACACCTTATTTCACATATCAGCTCCCTATATTTTTTTCCTGCTAGCATAGGAAACCAGTTAAGAACTTGGAGTATAGCAGGGAGACTATGGCAGTTCCTGCACTGTCAGTAAATAATTTTTCTTACCCAGTTCAGGCTTATGGGTGGTGATAGGTGAGAAGAAACTACCCTGAACATGGAAGGATCTCTATCTAACTTCCTCACTCAATTTGTGAAGGTTCTTAGGTAAAGGTTGTCTCTTCTATTGAATTTAATTGGGGGGAAAAAATGAGAAAATTAATTGGAGGGAGAAAGAAAGAGCAAATCTTTCTAAAGTGGCGATTGTTCTAAAAACTCAATGAGGCTAATTGCTGCTCCCCTGCAAGAGCTTCAAACTTGTCTTCACATCCCTCCCCAGTTTATCCAGAGGGAGCACAGCCTCTGCAGAAAATGCTGCTACTTCTACAGGCATAAGAGTGAAAATGAGAGAACTGGTGTCCATTGGGTCTGATAACAAAAATAATAAAGATCTTTTCATATCTGACTTTGCTAACCCCTGGAGTGATTTCCCAAGAGTCCGTAAAGCAGGGAATGCTGACAGACCCTTAGTAACCTAATGGATAGAATGATTGGCATGTCCATTCAGGTGTGGTCATTTGTGTGGGATGAGAATTGCTCTATTTGAAGAATCTGTATTCTGTAGCCAAAATAACCCAAGTTTATCTGAATAGCTGACATATGCATTTGAGATGGGTGTTTTCTTTGTTTTACTTTGTTCTGGCATCGCTGTATCAGAAAATGGGTTGGATAGTGAGGTAAACTGGGAGCCATAAAAACAGCTGAAGCTGGCATAGCGCTTACCACCGTTACAGTTCCTTAGTTCTGTATGATGGCTTGTGTACACAAAAGGGAAATAAATGAAGAAGAGATATGCAATACCAACAAATGCTTCCTTTTGCATTAGTGCAGCTGTGCTTGATGCTGTTTTTTCTGTGCTCAATATTGGAAGTCAGTGGGGGGGGAATCATTGTGAGCATGTGTAAAGCTAGCTGTTAATTGAAATTTAATTTAAGAAGAATAAGAATAACTCAAAATAGGCCTAGGGAAGAGATTAAATGTCATGGGAGTAACCTAAGTAATGTGCAATTCCAGGTGAATATGTGACATATGTAAACACAATCTGAAGCATGGTTAAAAATTTGCATGAATGGCAACCACTGGGTCCAGACTTGTGTCTTCTGAGTTGTGGGGTTTTTTGAGGTGGACTGTAACGCAGACGTGATTGTTGAGGGCAGTTGGTGCCTTGGCTTTCTCAGATTTGCTTGTACAGAAGGGTTCCTCTCAGATGACTGGTGCAAACTTAATTAACAAGTATACCATAAAGTGAGAAAAATAGGAATTTTTGTAGAGCAGTGGATTCTGAAATAATCTAAATCCCGTTTGGAAATCTCAGTTAAAATCAATCCAGGACATTAAAAAATGTTACTCATAATAGTCAATGTGGTAGGCAAAGACTGCCATCAGAAATTTAAATGCTAAACCTTTGTCCATTATCTAGGTCTGAACTTGGGTTTTCAGGTCCAAATTCAAGAACCGCTAGTGCTCAAGCTAACAAAAAAAAGTGTGTATGGGGAAATAGCCCAGATATTTTATGCAATACCCAGTCTCTGATGCTAACATATAAATATGTGCATACTATTAATCCTTCAAAAGAACATTTAAAAGTTCATAAGTATTAGGCTTCACCCAGTGTGATTGATTTCCAAAGAATATTTATTTCAGTGATGCATTTTAATATCTTGATCCCCATTTGCTCTATGACTTGTAGACGTCCTAACAAAATAAAGTTTATTTGCTCAAGAATGAAGAAAGACCACCAATCTTGGCAGATACTTGGAGCAGAAATTGAATAAAAATAATAACACTTTTTATTCCCTACTAACCAAGAGGACACTCCACTCTACAAAGCTGTCAGCAAACTCAGAATGCAACTAGTGCCAAATTAAAAAGATAAAATCACCAGAATTGTTTAAAGTTTTCTGAAAGAATTTGTAATTTAGCTCAGCCTGAGGACCATGGCACCACAGTCTGTGGTGGCAATATATTAACTCTCTCCACCAAGAGTTAAATGGTGTCTATGGACTAGTTAGTGCAGGCTAACTAGTGATTTTATCTGTAGTCCTTTAATCTTACAATGAGTGACTCATAAATCTCTTTGATATAGACAAGAGTGTTGATTTGAAATATTTTTCTGGTCTACCACAGAATTTATCTGTCAAAATAGTGAATAGAGCAACATGGGTGTTGTTCCACAATAAGAAACCCAGACATTTCAGGGCAGCACAAGACACATTTTTTTTCCAGATATAGGTCATAGGTGTCAGAAAATGCCTGCATAAACAGTGGAGAGGTAGAGAGTCTTTTCCCAAACCATCCCTCACCACTTCAAACCAAGGAGTCAGTACACTGGTTACAGACCTCTGGTAAATTCAATACACCTACCCTTTGGACAGTCTCCTGTGTGGAGCAAAAAGATTCCCCTCATTTGTTGTCCAAGCATTTCTTTTTGCATTAAGGCATCTTACTTATTCATTGCATGGCCAAAACCACTGGGTTTAACGGCGAGGTCTTTCCAACTTTTTTCAGTATAACTTCAGTACGTGATGTTCAGAGGAAAGAAAAATGACTGAGCATTAGCCTCCAATGGTTGCCATGTTGTTAAGCACTGATGCTTTGCTCTGCTCTTCAGAAAAGTGTGGTAGAGTAACTACTGTGTAAAGATTTGCAAGTATTTTGAGTAATGCTTCTTTTAAAGATTTTAAGTCTTGGTAAATAGTCCTGTCCGTATTCTTGTTTGTCATTAGAGCTCACCCGAACCTTTGAGTGTCTATCCAGTTTCTCTTAAAAAAGAAATAATACTTAAGATCATATTCCCATGTTGCAAAAATTATTTTTTCTCTGGTCACCTACACAAGTCATCTCTTTGAAGAAAGATTAGCCCTTTTTATGAGCTGTTTGTTTATGATCCAACACGTCTTCATCACCTCTCTCAACACAGACTTTAAATTTTGAAGTGCTGAATGTAGAGGAATTATATTTCCTTTTCCAACAAATGAGTGGGATCTCTTTCACATAACAATATGAGGAACAACAACCAGACTCTAAATTCAGAAGTAATGCTAGTAACAGAAACTGTACTTAAGAAAGATTTCAGATATGACAAAAACTATAAAATATAACAGAGAGCACTTGTTGCTTTAACAAATGAGTGAAAAGAATTACAGTTCATTTGTTCAAGTTCTATATATATTTTCTGAAATAGAGTAGTAAATTTGTTACTGTACTCTGTGGCACAAAATTCTGTGATTTGTGTAGCAAAGTGAGGGGTTGGGCTAAGGAGATGTCAAATAGGTGGATTTATCCTATGTGGACTGAATGAACTAAATAATTTTGAAATCCTGAAGTCCTGACAAGTGTGAAGTTTTCCCACAGTGCATGTTCACATGCTTATCAATCTATTAATTGTTAGAGCAGAATCCCAGCAAAATGACTGAACGTGGGATTTGACCAACCTACACAAAGTTAATATTTTATTAAAAGTGCAACTGAGAATTTAAAACCATTCTCTAACTACATTTTCCAATCTAAATTCTGCAATGCAGGGGAAATAAAAAAAAAACAACCAAAACCCCTGAAGTATGTGATTAAGTTCATCTTTACTTGAGAAAGATCTGAAGTACCTATTTCAATTTAGACAGCAGTCATTATTTTAGTATGCAACATTTAAAAACATATCATGCTTACCTTCTGATGCTAGAACAGGTGTATCATAAATCCATCAGTTCTCAAATTTGTACTCTCAGAGTAGCTGTAAGTTTGACAGATAAAATATAGAAGCTGAGATTTTAAAAATAGGCCTTTTAGTAGCAGTCCAAAAAAAAGTCCTTTTAGATCACATGAGCATGCTGGAGTGTGACTGCTTCACAGAAGTGCCTTCCCTACATGCTCCTTACAAGTTCATGTTTAAAAGTCCTGAGTCGTTCTTAATATGCAATTTTGTTTGGGCTTTTTTAGGGGGCTTTTTTAAAACCTTAGAAGAACAGGAACAGCTGTGAGCATAACTAACATTTCAACAACTAAGTTTTTGTGGTATTGGGTTAAAAGAAAAAAATAAGAACTGATGGAACCTCTTTAGATTTCATTTCTCAAGTGTTGTAGCATCTGAACTGTGTAGCAATATCATATTGCATGAGTTCACAGCACATCACCTCAATGTAGGAACTATCTCTTTGTGAGGATTGTTAAGATCCACATGGACCTTATCTGCCTTTCCCAGAATATTACCATCCAGAAATGTGCTGTTGAGCCAGGAAGCTTATAGGTGCTACTCCTTTACTTCTCTTCTGGAACAGAACAGCCCCTCAAAGCACAGTACAAGTAATAAACCTAGCAACTTTTACAGGCAGATTCATCTTTTCAAAGCACTTAGGACAAACTTTTCATACATATACATGTTTACAGAAATAAATCTCCTACATAAATTCCAGTGGCTAAAATACATGTGAATGTGTGTGGTCTAAATACCCCACCAGATTTCTTTCTATTGGGGATGATACAATGGAGTCTGAGTCAGTAGCAGAAATTTACATTCTACATTAATCACCTTTTCATTTGTGTGAATTCAACACAAATACAGGAATCCAGGAAGTTTTTGCTCTGCTTTTGTTTTAATTTCTCAGTTTAGTAATTCTAGGTTCTATCACTAAATTATTATGTTGGTACTCTTTCCATATTTTATAGAAATAATTCCTAAAAATTGATTGTGACTTCTTCAAAAGCATTTGATGCTGCAAAAGAAGTCTCTTCATGTCAAAAGAGAAATTCCAAATTTTTGCATGATCTGAACTGCATTGTTGGCAGTATTGCAGATTTCTCATCACTGTTTTTCTTTTTCAGGAAAGCATAGATTTGGGTGAGATCATGTTTTCCCTCTGTTATTTGCCTACTGCTGGGAGAATGACATTAACAGTCATCAAATGTAGGAATCTCAAAGCAATGGATATAACTGGCGCATCAGGTGAATCTACTTCTTTTTTAAATAACAAGGCAGAGTCTATTCAGGGAGGAGACAAATGGGAACCTGTTGGTTTTTTATGTTTAATGTGGCTGTAAAATAGTAGTAGTAGGAGAATGGCCCTGTTCAGATCTACTGGCTATCTTTAGTGTGGCAGTCAGTATGTCTGCTCAGCAGGTCTATGCCTTTCCTTTGCAATGTTCTCCAGGGTCACTAAAACCTTTGTAATCTCTTGTCTTGTCAATATGACATTCCTACCAAAACCAAAAAAAAATATTGCTCTTATGCTACATATTCTAATGACTTTGAGTCCAAATGCACACAACTGATTATCTATTACTCAGATCCCTATGTCAAAGTGTCTCTGATGTGTGAGGGTCGAAGACTGAAAAAGCGGAAAACGACCACGAAGAAGAACACGCTCAATCCCATTTATAATGAGGCCATCATCTTTGATATCCCTCCAGAGAATGTGGACCAGGTCAGCCTTTCCATTGCCGTGATGGATTACGATCGGTAAGCACAGTTTGCTTTCTGACTATTGATCTTCAGAGAGAAGTTACCTGACCATTGCAAGTGACTGCTTCCCACCTCCTTCAACATCGAGTAGGCTCAGTGTCTAAAAGATAAAGATAAAGGTGTTTCCCTGAAGAGGTTTAAAGCTTCCACACCTGTTAAAGCTCAGGCCTTTTTTTTTCTGCCTCATAAATAACTGTGATGAGGAATAAACATGGCTCAATCTGCTTACAGGCCACTAGCCTTGGCATGCATTTCTGTCCCCATTTGGTGGCTGGATTATGTAAAAGGGTATGTCTTGCAGTTTAAAAAAGGGCCCCACACCTCTAATTTCAATTTAAGTGTCATGTACTTGAGATCAAAGAAAATTGGAATGACTAGAAAAGAATTAGATACTATTACCCCATTGAATTAAGTCACGATTAATTCTTTGGTTGATTCAGTGAGGAAGCTTTGTAACCTTTGGGTTCAGACTTTGCTGATGAGACATCTGAGCCTCAATTATCTATGTTCTCACTGAGAACTGACAGGAAGAGACTGCTGCTTGGAGTGGCTCAAGGACTGCAGGTTAAACTAGACAGTGAGTGACAGAATCATGCCCGAGCCAAGTCTGTTTCATTCAAGTGCTATTAGTAACAAGCTCTTGAAATTGCAGGACGAATAAACAGTGAAAGTCTAATTTAGTAACACGAGTCTTCGGATTGTTTTTCCTTGCTATCAGATTTCTGATCATCCTTCAACTTCTGTCAGGATGTGAAAGTCAGATTTCTCAGTCAGATGTGAAAGGGGCAATACAGTGCTGTTAGGGGAAGAGCACATCAGTTTGCACACTTTCAGTTCTCTTCAGCTGCTCATTCCAAAGAATTTGCTAAGAGGAAATTAGGAAACATTATTCAAAGGTACATGTGGGCAAGGTACAGAAAATTACTTTCTGGAGTCCCTCAACAAGTCTATGACACTACCAAGAGTATGAGGTACGAAGATATGGCCTATTATGGTTGTGCTTCTTCTCTTTCATGTTTTTGGCTGAATTTTCAATGACCACAAAAGTTAGGGCTGGGAAATATAGTGTGAAATGATATGTGAATGATTTGCAGCAGGAAATGTATTCCTCACTGTTTTCCTTCCTCTCCCACAAAATATAAGCATTATTTCCTTTCAGATCATTTTGTGTATTACGATCCTTTTCTGTCCTTGTGTCTTTTGGGTTGTAACCTTTTAATGGCAAACGTTAAGTCTCTGTTGCTATTTTTATAGCTACTAGAAGAACTCTGGTAGTGGCTGGAGGTTTTTGATTACAGAACTTAATATTACTTTAGTACCTCTAAAACTAGTATCTGTAATAAACAATGTGAAAACTTTGGGCATGTATTCTGTGCTGCACTAAACCAGTAAACAGAATTATACATCAGATGTTATTAAAATCATTATTATTTTTTTAAAAAATCTGTTTCTCTACAATTCTCAGAGTAGGGCACAATGAGGTCATTGGGGTGTGTCGGACAGGAATTGATGCTGAAGGGCTTGGAAGAGATCATTGGAATGAAATGCTTGCTTACCCACGCAAACCAATAACTCACTGGCATCCACTACTAGAGGTAAGAAGTAGTGAAATTTTCTCCTTCTCAGTATATTGGATAAATATATTGCTACGTTGAGATATATATCTATCCTTCTCAGATATATAGAGATATGTAGAGATATAGAGATATGGATATATATATCTCCTTCTCAGATATATATATGAAAATATCAGTATATGTTTTTGTCTCTCTCACACTTGTGTGTTTCTGAGAAGCATGAAAATCAGTACATCATCAGTGATGCACCTATAATATTCATATCACAGCCTAAATCTAGTTGCATGGGTTTATTGATTACTTAAATGTGCAATTTCAAAAGTTTGCAGGATGTGCTGACAGTATTATAAGATTTAATTAAGACATTTAAAATTTCCAGAGATTATAAGGAGCTTACATACACTTAGAAGAGATCGTTTGCAAGTGTGCAATCATTTCGTATTCAGAAATGTTTGGCATGCAAAGTTATGTTGCTAAAACATTAATCTGAAACTGGCCTGCTAATTAGGCTAAATTGAGGCAACATACCAGCAGCTACCTCCAGAGTCTCTCAGAGAGACACTTATTGGGATCTTATTCAAGGCATGGATAATTATATCTACAAGTCTCTCGGCTTGGACTCCCTCTTCAACATGTTGTGTCACATCTTACTGTTTTTGTGTATGCAAAATGCTCACAGCTTTGGGTTCAGAAAGATTCACACTGAAGCAGAGGGCCCTGTTTTGAGATAAAGAGAGCCCACTGTCTAGCCCTTCCCAAAACCCAGCCCTGTAGAAAAATGTGTTGCTGTCTGAGGCATCACTGGCCATTGGGTTTCCCCACTGTGCATCACACAGCTGCACAGCATGTCAAGTGACAGGTAGAAAAAGGCCAACAGCAAGGCTTCAGCAAAGCATCTAAAGAAGAGTGTGAGGGCAAGGAAACTGAGTCAGTGCAGCAGAGAAGCCTTTTTCTAGAGGTTCATGGCTCTCTCTAGATTATGTGAGTTTCGAGACAGAGGTCTCCAGACCAACCTCTCCAGTTTGGTGAAATAAACCTACTCCTGTGAAACAAGTCAGATGCAGTTTTAGCATATTATTAGTTCTACTGGAGAGTTTGATCCAGAAAGGGTCTAGAAGTGATTTGGGTCCTTCTCTGAGGGAGTCTCTCATCCTCTGAAATGAGCGTGATACACGGCCAGATATGATGATATTTGTAAAACTAACACTTTTCTTTCAGTTACCTGGCCGAGCAACCAGTTTTGATAGCCAGGGATCTTGTTCATCACCAAAACCACCGCTTACGCCCTAAGGAATGAGAGTGGATTCATCGTGTTCAGTGTCCAAAGATCCCTTGTAGCTCACATCTACATAAACAGAAGGTTTGGCTTCCACAGAGGAACTGTATCCATATTTTTTTATTATAATACATTTTTCCTATTCAAAGTCTTATATTACACTTTATAATAGTTTCTTAATGTATGAATGAAGTTGACTTGAGCCAAATATAACCCTTCCTCATACAAATTCATTCACCTGTTTCCTCACTGGCATATCTCCAGTGTCATATCCAAGCAGCATTTTGGTATGACGTATATATCTGCATAGACAAAGAAATCAGGGGAAAAAAATTCCCTTAAACAGTTCAAAAACATGGCAGCTTGTAACATCTAACTCTTTTGAGGGAGAGCAAATAGTCATGTATCGCTTACGTAGTAAATATCTTCTAAATTGCACTAAATCCTGTACAACTTCTCAAGATATCACTTAAAACTGAATGTTGCATGAAGAAAAGGACACTGTTGTCATGTTTTGATCATTTGGAAAATTCCTTGGGCAAGGAGGAAGGGGCTGAGCAAAGGCCCAGTGAAGCCGATGAGAAGGACCTTTCTGACTTCACTGGGTTTCAGTTCAGCCTTTACGGAACAGATATCACAACTGGATCTATGCAGTTGCAATCCTCCGGCAATCAAGATGCTGGAACTCATTAGTCTGTCCAACAAAAGAGCCAGGCACTGGGGCCCAGGCAGGTGGCTGTATTCAGTGCCTATTTTGCTTCAGCTACCCACCAGTTCGGTTGTCTCTGCATGACCCTGAGCAGCGCGTGTACGGGTACTGTTGTGGAAAGCTAATGCGTCTGCCACGAGTTTTGTAGAAGTTGGTGCAGCTCCACAGAGATGGAGGTGTCTCCTGAGGAGGTGCATCCAGCCCCTTCGAAGCAGCCCATTTGATGCTGACATCATGCAGTCCTTACTTGGTCTTTACGCAGGTCAAACTGTAGATGAGAGAGTGCCCTGGAGTAAAGGAAATGATTTAATGTATTTCAGCAGTTCAAAAAATTGACCAATACCTGCAGTACCTTCCGATTCTTTATTTAATGTGACAGTATTTCATTTCTTTGAAGTTATTTTGGCTAAGTGTATAGCTCATGTGGAACAGTTTCTTATCCCTGGATGGATGCCTCTAGAATTATTTGCTAAATATGAATTTGAGATAAGTTTTATGTTAAATGTGGAGAGAGAAATTGAAACGTAACAATTTTATAAACTAGCAAACTCATTTACTAGAATACACAGTGACAGCAAATGCAGAAAAATACTGGCTGAAGTGAGCTGCTTTAAAAACTAGGAGAGAACTACGTATTATTTTATGGATTTAGATCTTTTTAACACTGCAGTTTACCTCAATCAGATAGTTATTTTCTTTTTTTTTTCTTTTTTCCTTTTTTTCTGTGAAGAGCATGGCAAAGACTGCATGATTGGGACTGAGATTTTGAAAGCTGAACTGCAACCAGAAAAAAGTTGATGTGGTGTCTCTTTTTGTATCTTTGTATTTTAAAGAAAACTGAGAAGATAGTTTTTACAGAAGAAAAGTGTCATACACAAGAAAAATGCTGCTGGAAGATTGGTTTACGATAATGGAAGAATTTTGAGAATTAATCTAGTTATGAAGGGAAAGGGCAGTTTAGACAGACTTCTGAAGAACTGTTTTGGCTTGGTTTGCTTGATCTGGCTGACACAGAATACTTTAAGAATATCCAGTCCTTCCATTCCACTGACTAATCTCTAAGACAGTCAAATATGCCTCAAAATGTCTTAACTGCTCCAGGAAATTTAGGAAAGTTGATCTTAACATTACAGGTGTTTCTAAGGCAAGAAAGGAGGCAGGTTTTATACCTTTCCTTCTGTGCCTACAAACACAACAAGCAAGCAAACAAATGCATAAATATTTTTTTCAGACATTTTTTACAGATTAAAAAAAAGACCAAAAAAATCCCAAATAAACAAAAAGAAAAAGGCTCCAGCCCAGATCTTTGAATGTCTGCTCAAGGTTGCTATTCATGGCCTCTAGACACAAATAATTTTTCCCAGAGAGGGTTGGTAATGCTGGACACCAATCCTGCCTGCTCAAGATTGTATTTTCATCACCATAAAGACAGAGCAGCATTGCAGAATTTCATTCCTCTGTTTGCTCTGGGACAAGTAATTTTTTTAATAGGAGATCAAGCTCTCCTCTATGGTATTTTTTTTCCCCTCCCATCATTGTTTTCATCATGATATTCTGTGGTCTATATCATTTTCATCATGATTTTGCCAGGTTGATATAGAAACAGTTATATATATATGTATGTGGAGATCTAAAAACTATTTTGTGTATACTTCTATCTTAATATGAATTATCAGCAGTGGCCTTTGTGGCCTAGAAAGTACTTTTTGTAATGTGGTACTGTAACAGTTAACTAAATATTCTTTGCACTTTTTTGCACCTAATATCCAAAAATTTAACAATTTCACAATCAAATGTAGCATAAGTGTTCAGCAATGAGCAACTTCTTTTTAACTATTTTGTCATTCTCTTTGAGTATCCTGTATGTTTCATCATAAGTAGTAAGGCATTTCAAGACTCATATTCTTAAATTCAAATTGTTGTCAAACACCAAAGGAATAATAACTCAGTTTGTGCCCTCTTGTGTTATTTTTGGTATTGTTAATAACAATAATGGATGACTTCTGTGTCTAAACTTGATTTATGGGTGCTCTGTGTCTAAGAAAAATCAGGCTACAAAATTATCAGAACACCTAACTTCAAAAATGATCCCCTAATTAATTATTTTTAGTCTCTTATCTGTGATTAATAGAATTAATGCAAAAGAATTTTATTTTTTTCCCCCTTGCTTTCTTAGCTATCTCTCAAGTCAAGGTATATATGTAGTATAACCCAACCCATTGGCTTTAGAGCCTGGTTCACAAATTATTTTCTGAGCAAAATCACAGAAGCACCAAATAAAAGCTTGGCACAGTTTTAGTCAATAAATATGTTGCTTTATCTATCTCTTTATTAAGAAATTTAAAATGTTTTAGTTTGGAGAAGTTGTAAACTCCCTGCTCTCATCCTGAATGTTTTTTTGTTGCTGTATCACAAATGTTAGCCTAATTTGAGCAAAATCAAATCTGGCAAGTGCTTGGCAAAATTTACAACTGTTTGAAAAACACACATTCCTAAAAATCCGGGTTATTTTTATTGAAAAGACTTACTGGAAATGGTAACAATACTTAATAGGAATTCTATTTTGCACTGCAGAGCTTTTTTATACTTTCACAACAGTAAACCACAGAACTGTACAGAGAAAGTACATGATGGATTAAGTGGTTTCAGGAGAGCTGTTAAATTTTTGTATTTATTTTCAAAAATGCACTGTAAAGTGAAAAAGCCCACATACAAATTTATCTAATGAGCCATTCTAGTCTTTTGGGTAAATATTGTTTTCAAGCAATTGTTTCTCTTCCCTACATTAAATAAGTTTTCAGGGACCATTAGATTTGCTCTAAGCAACCATAAAATTGTTATTAGGTCTATGCAAAATGTTAAGTAGGACCCTAAACCACAGGTGGATTTAGGATTTTAGTGGCACTGCAGACAGTAGCATAGGTGAGCATATGCTCAGTAAGATGCAAGTCATGTATTGTCCTCCACAATCTCAACTTTCTATCTCTGTATTGTATACTCCTGCCAATGTGGCCCATTCCCTCGCTCTCCCAGCAAGTTACCATCTCTTTCCCCACTGTCTTTTGTCTATTTATTGGGCTTATGTTCAAGCAGTAGAGACCTGACCCTTACTTTTGTCTGCAGTGATGAAAGCTGACTCCTGGCCTTAAAAAAGTAGTGTTATGAAACTTCAGGGGTCTTGACTGAAAAGTGTAGGAGAGCTACATCACTCATTTCCATTCTACCAACAGCTGTCAAGGAAGTAACTTCCCTTCTCCACAGTCCTTTACAATCATCAGACATCTGTAGATCAGTAATTCTGGCTGTTTTTTCACTTCTAGCAAGCACTGAAAGAGCAATATACATATCTCAGGGGTATGTATATTGGTCAGGGACAGAGAATGTGGCCAGAACCAGTAAGATAAAACAAAACTCAGTGTGTAAGGACAAAAGTTCCGCTGCAAAATTTCTTCTTCAATATATGGAATTGTTTTGACTTGTAATGTTTAAGTAGATAAACTATACATTTTTCTTAAAGAATCACAACCACATTCAGTATTTTTTAAGAAAATTTTGAGCAAACATGCAACGTTTTTGTCGAGTTGATTTTTTCCAAGGGAAAAAGCAATTGCTTCCTACTTTCTTTCTATGTATGCATGTCAGGAGCAATATTAAGAAAACATTAAGTTTTAAAAAAAGACTTATTTGATCCATCCATTTCCTCTATTTCTTAGTTCTTTTAATTGGCTTCATTGTAATGCTTTCAAAAATTTTTAACATGATGATGCACAATAAATACATGATAGTCTAGTTTGGTGATTTTTTTTCTATATATTTTTAATCAATTAACTTCTTATATCTTATAAACTTTTATATGCAGTTTTTATTACTCATCATTGATTTAGCAGGCTTTGTATATCTGAAATAATTTGACTATGTTTTCAAGTGCGTAAACATTTAAAAGAAGGGTGAGAACTCAGTAATAGAGTTCTGCTGAAAATGTCAGCTTTTTCAGAGATCCATAAATGTGCCCGCAAAATTTGAAACCCACCTTATTAGAGCACGCAAAAACCTGTATTTGCACATGCAAGTATTTGCACTTGTAAAATGTATAATTATCATTATTTAGTACTTATATTAAAACAGAACACACCTAATCACAAATACATTTCAGTTCATGATAAATACTGGACAATATTTAGTGAGTGACAGTTCCCTGACCTGCAAAGTTAATATGAATTTATTTCTAGAAATGAATATGCTTGAAAATTCTGTGAGTGTTAAAAAAAATTATATTTTAATTAGATATTGCAGTGACTTTTGGAC